ACTTTCCCACTTTTTGGCCCCGCCCCTTCTGCGCAAAGTGGCCGAACCCACTGTTGATTAAAAAAACCCGATCCCCCTTCTTCCAGGCATGCTTCAGACCGTATCGGGATAGAATTCTGGCAACTCTACATAATACGGATTTTAAAGGATTTCACCACTCTCGCCCAAGGGGGTGGGGGCTTAGATCCACAGAACTGATTCCCTTTCACCCAAGCGTGCTACAAGCCACATTGGGACAACATCCGTGCATTGCTACAGAAGAAGGATTTTAAAGAATTTGTTCTATTTCCTCTATTGGTCCACATCCCTCCCATCCCAAACCCAAAAGGTTCAGGACAAGTGAGCTAAGAAGCATATTATACATATAAGTTAAGCCAAACATGAAAGTTGAGAGGACAACAGAAAATTGCAAAGGAGTAACAGTAGTGTATTACGTACACAAAAAGTTCGTAGTATAATACATGCAATGTCAAACATACAAGACAAAATCCATGCAAAAACAAGGATTGTGAAGATGACTTGCTATGCTGGGGTCTTTACTTTCTCAAATTAGTTAAATCCTAATGTTGAAATCCTCCGGAGAATGAAATGTTATGTAGTAGAAGAAAACCAAAACTGCATGTTATAAAATGGTAAGCGTTACTGCAATATGGTTGCATGCTTGCGACGATGAAGCACTGTAGCTCAGATAAGGATAACAGTGTATGGCTGGATAATAAGGTGTCATGCTGGGTCTTCTCCCCTGAACTGGAGGGTTAAGACTGATCTCCCTTAGGGACCAAATGACACAGAATACCTCAATGTAGTCCATATGTAGTGTTTGGGAGTGCCAGCCCTACAGCTGGGAGATGACCCAGCAGTTCTAACTATCCAGCACAGTATCACCCTACCATTCTTACGTAACACAATCAGTCATATGCACCCTCTTCTAAAGTAGATCTACAACTGAAATTTGAGAATGACCTAACACTTCTGCAGAAATTTGCGATAATAATCTTCAATTGCCTAAACCCAAGATGGCGGCCAATCAATATACCCATCACCTCTCCCTGAAATTCTGGAATTTTGTACAGTCCCTTGTAATTTCCCGTTGCAAGGAAATCTGGAATCTCCCTATTTAAGCAGTCACCTTACCAAAGTCTACAATTATACTAAACAAATTGAATTAAACAATCTAAATCACACTAATTAAAGGACTTGGTTTAAATTAATGTACTAAGCTGGCGACATAGCTAACCATTCAGTTTTCCGGATTTATCTCAAAACTGAATTGATATGGCACTACTAAGAATGAAGAGGAATCTAAATGATAAATTTGAGGGAGATTTTTCCAATATTTCTCAAGAAATAGTAATGAATTTTCCTTGACAACAAGAATTACACCTACATGTAATTATGTATCTGCTGTCTTCACTTATATATCATCAGGATGTAATAAATGCTGTATTATTTCATTCATTGCTCTAATTTCCAACAAGAGGCCCATAGGGTCTGTATCACTCAGTCACCCAGCTCTTACAGCCCACCAATGTTATACATGACTTCTGATTCCCGGTAAGTTGATATGGTTATTAGGTTGGTATCTCAACTATATAACAAGAGATCCAAGAGGGATCTTGGCGCCCACCATTTGAGGATCTGTTTTCAGTTCTTGAAGATTTGTTTATTTTTTTTGTTTGTTATAGGTGTTGTAAATGTTCATGAACTGGTCTTCATTGAATGTACTCAATGATGGCACAAGATATTTTTTATTAAGAACCTATTAGCAAATATCATTTGAAAAAGATCCCAAAGTATTATTAGATAGCAGTCAGTTACAGGTGGATAATGGACAATATGCTTGTGCTGTATTACTGTCGACATCCAAGATGGCTGCCTGTGGGCCAACTTGATTTCAAATCAGTCCAAAAAAGGTACAATGCACAACTAGGGACCAAGGGAAACCAATATCTATGAAATATCAGAAGGATCCATCCAGTACTTCCTCAGATATAGCAGTAACGAGATTTTAATCTCAAAATCCAAGATGGCTGCCTGTCAGCCATCTTGATTTCGGATCAGTCCAAAAAGGTATAATGCACAACTTGGAAACAAAGGGAACCTGCATATGAAATTTGAGAAAAATCCATCCAGTACTTTCAAAGAAATAGCGGTAACAAACTTTTACATCCAAATCCAAGATGGCCACCTGTCGGCCATCTTGAATTCGAATCAGTCCAAAAAGGTACAATGCACAACTAGGGACCAAGGAGAAACAGCATATGAAATTTGAGAAAGATCCATCCAGTACTTTCCAAGAAATAGCAGTAACAAACTTTTACTTCCAAAATCCAAGATGGCTGCCTGTCGGCCATCTTGCATTCGAATCAGTCCAAAAAAGGTACAATGCACAACTAGGGACCAAGGGAAACCTGCATATGAAATTTGAGAAAGATCCATCCAGTACTTTTCCAGAAATAGCGGTAACAAGAATTGTTTACGGACGGACGGACCACGGACCACGGACGCAAGGCAATTTGAATAACACACCATCTATTAGATGGTGGGCTAAAAATATGACCCAGTTATAATGTCCTTTGAGATGTACCACACACAATGGTAAGTTCCTTCATAACAAATGTGTTTATCTCAATGCCAAGCAATTCTATATATGGGAATTTCAAATGTTTCAGAAAATATTACCATGAAACCCCCGAAACCTATGAGAGGGGCCAGACTCCAGGGCCTATTCTTACATCACGATTGTGTTCATCTCTTGATCTCCAACATTGTTACATATTGCTATGGGGTAGGTATCTCAACAGCTTGAATGATATAACAAGGAAACTAAGTCCCTGGGGATGGGGCCAGACCCAAGAGCAATTCTAACATCATGATTATGTTTATCTCTTGATGCCTGTCATTGCTATATATGGTCAAAGAGTGGGTATCTTATCTATTTCAAAGATATAACAAGGAAAGAATGTCCCTGCGGGTGGGGCCAGACCTCACAGCCAATTATTATATCACCATCGTGTTTATCTCTTTGTGCCCAGCAATGCTTATACGTGGTTATGGAATGGGGCAACAGTTTCTAAAGAAATGGTGAAAACAAACAAACAAATCTAAGATGGCTTACAATCTGATCAGTCCAAAAATAAAAGAACAAAGACAAAGCTACACTCAATTAGGGATGAAGGCAAGCGTACATATGTAATTTAAGAATGATCCATCAAATACTTCTCAAGAAAAATGGGGGCAAAGCCACAATTGGCCAGGTTTCAGGATGAGTGCAATGTTATATATCGCGCTCAAAACAACGTTTCAGCCAATAAGAGGCTATTGCACTCAAAACAACATCGCAACCAATGAGAGGCAAAGGCTGCCATCTTGGATTTTCCACGCCAGACTGTTGAAAATGACCAAGTTCCAAAGCCCAGAAAATTAAAAAAAAATGTTCGGAATGAATCCTAAATTAATAGGTGCACATCTTCAATATATATGTAAACATCCTACAAAGTTTCAAGCTTCTAAATCAAAAACTCTAGGAGGAGTTGATTCTACAAAACTGGTACCCCTTTTCCCTGCCAAACTGCAGAAAATAACTGAGTTCCAAAACCTGGAAAATCCAAAAAAAAACTGGTACCCCTTTTCCCCGCCCGCCTGACATTCACCATACTTCAACCTGGATTTGCACTATGTGCAACCCGGCCAAAAATTGATGACAATGTATAAGTGTTCTGTTCAGTCCTAAAATAGTTATGAACAAGTAGGGACCAAGGATAGCTTGCATATCCAGTGCTATTCCAGAAATAGCTATACCTAAAACTGATTACAGACTAATGGACAGACCTAGACAGGATCATTTGATTATAGCTATCTACTGATCATTGGCTAAATGTTGTCTTTAATTGTATCAAGAAACAACAAAACATGCTTAGAAGTAAATCATTTGTGCACTTCATCATACTACTGTCTTTATTGTTTGTGTAAATGAATAGAGACCAAACTAATAAATCTGCCATATAGTGATATTCTATTGTCAAGTACAATCATATGACATCAGTGTAGGTGAAATAATTAACCAAAAATACGTGCTGAGATGACCATGTATAGAGAGATATATACATTACGTATTGAGTATACTTTAAGGCTATAGCAGCACATGTACTTAAAGAGAAAGTTCGATGTACAGCTACATGTAACAAATGAACATAGCACAATTAATTAACAAAATCAAATAGCATGTAACTGTGAGGTGAAAATAACATTCTGAAGTGTGTCAGGATGATAACACATAGATACAAGTACATATGTTACAAGTTTGGATAAGACAGATTAAATAGTTTGAGAGAAATAATGCCCAACACTGAGCGAAACGGAAAACTTTGCTCTATTTTTTAACATTTAAAATCAGAATCTGAAATATATGTGTTTAGATGGTTATATATTGATCAGAGTTGATGGAATGTTATGATAGCTCTGACTGTAAATGGACATAAGTGTATTTCAGCCTAGGTTTTGTAATAACCGTTTGTGTATCTCTTTGATATATGAGAGAAATTCATTGATGAAGTTCAATTAATTGTCAAGGATATATAAAAATTTTAATTAAAGACATGTATGTAATCTTGCTTATACCAGTTTATAATCACTGAGCTGATCTGTGGATGACAGCATTTGTATTTAGTAGAACATTTTGGAGTTTAACACAAATATTGTACCAGTGCCAGAAAAGCAACGTCTGTGTCTCACTCCATAACTAAATCACATGTGAGACAAAACCAAGATGGTCACTTGTAAGCCATCTTGTTATTCAGATCAGTCCTAATATCCAAAGAGAACAAGCAGGAACCAAGGGGAACCTTATTTGAGTAGATTAATCAAGCCTTCTAGAAATAGCCAAAACAAGACTAGAACTAAAGTCTGATGATTTGAAGATGTTGTAAATTTGTGAATACTGACGTTATTAATAATACAGAAGTTTTACAGAGAATGTGAATTAAAAGCCAAATTCAAAATGAAGAAATCAAACTATTTATTCAATTAATTACAAACCTTAAACACGATGAAATACTTTCATTCATCATTCTTTACTTATACACTGTCAAACACATCTATATATATTACAAACCATCATTCTTCAAAACATATATAGAAACACCTCAGTCTTCAAAATAGATTCAAGCAGAAAATTACATGATAAAAAAAAACCAATTTTACTTTACATCCTCAATTTTATCACAAAGTTTAGATGATGCTTTACTGTAATCAAATTAACTGATGTAAGTAATAATTAAAACAAGAGGCCCAAAGGGCCAGTATGTCTAGCAATGCTATTATGTAATGGGATGGTAGTCTCAATGGCTTCAAAGACATAATCAATCCTAGTGTGGGACCAGACCCCAGGACAAATTATCAGTAATGATTGTGTTTATCTTCTAATACTCAGCAATACTTTAATTATTCAGTGGGGATCACAACTGTTTCAAAGAACCAAAGATCCAAATGAATAGTTGATGGTGTAAAGCAATGATATCGAAAATGAATTAAATCTACTTGGATTATATTATCCCTGTTTGGCCCTGCCCCTCTGGCCCCAGGGGGCAGAGACCCTAATTTTACAAAACTGATTTCCATTCACCCAAGTATGCTTCAGACCAATTTTGGACAATATCTTGCAATTCCTAAAGAACAAAATAGATTTTGAAGAAATTAATAGATTTTCAATAATGGGCCCTACCCATCTTGCCCAAGGGGGCTGAAACCCACTGTTTATACAAATCTGATTTCCCATCTATTTTGTTTCATTTCAAAATCATATTAGTCTTTTTTTCCATTTCCTCCAATATTCCTGTTACAGCGATTAGAATGCAGAAAATTCCAAATCACCAATCAAGCCAAAGGTTAATCATACTCTGTGTCCTGAAACACATCACCATGAAGATCGAGTCACTCCAGATAGTTTGTTATAGTCTGCTAGCTTTCTCCATACAATTCTACTCATTCTGAACCTCTTCAGGTTTCCACGCGGTCGGGATGTGATGATGCATCGTTTATGTACCCGAGAAATTGAGCTGTTAAGAGGAAGTGTCATGAGGTCCTCTGCTGCTTTTTCCTGAAAGGTAAGAGAGAGGAAAGCTTACTTTACAAAGCATTGGGTCAGATAAATCAGAAACATTTTGTTATTAAATTACCACCCCTCTCTTAGCAAAAGCATCTCTTGGATATGAGTGAGATAGGTGAATTCCAATCAGGGCTCTCGATCTGCCAGATTTGGGGCCGATATTCGGCCCCATTCCCAATGCAAAATAGTATCTTTTTTTCCCAATTTAGACCCCAAGTTTTCCCAATTCTAAGGGCCCCGGGCCCCAGTCCCAAAATGGTCTGTGAGAGCCCTGCCAATGTTGGCAGTTTTTACTACTAGATAGTAAATGGTCTAAATGAAAAACAAGAGGCCCAGAGCGCCTGCAACACTCACCTGGATATTTAAGTCAATAATGCAAAACTTTACATTTCTTCAGAAGGAAAATATCTCCCCTGATGAGCCTCACTCCACAGATAGAGCTTCAAATTCCCAAAGGGTAGGGACAGAGATCAGTTGTTAACCTCTTTATGTGTAGCAGTGCTATTAAGTTATGGGATGACAATCTAAATGGCTTCAAAGATATAATCTGTCATGGGGCTGGTCAGTTATGATTGTGTTTATCTCCTGATGCTCAGCAATATTATAGTTATTCAGTGGGGATCACAACTGTTTCAAAGAACCAAAGATCCAAATGTATTGTTGATGGTGCAAAGCAATCATATGAAGATGAATTAAATCTACTTGGGTCAGATTTTCCATGTTGGGCCTCGCCCCTTTAGCCGAAACCCATCATTCATACAAAACTGATTACCAATTACCAAAACATGCTTCAGAGCAAAGGGTCAAAGTGTTTCTATAGATGCAATTCTAGGCAATGGGTATTTCAAATTTCCATAAGATCACTTGACTGAAAGTCTTCTACTGCAGAACTAGTGACAGTGAGTGATTCAGGTAAGTTCAGTTAGTTGCTACTGGTGTTATATATATATATATTTATATTAGACATTGCAACACAACTGACAAAGAAAGACAATTTTTGACTCCTGCCCTGTCTGTGCTTCCAACTAACAATCTATGACACCAAATCAGCTCACCATTAAAATGTTCTAAACTGCCTAACCATATATGTAACATATATAATATATAGGATTTACAGTAATAGATAATATATAAGTACTGGATACTAACAAATCAATGTTGATGGGATGTGTATTACTGCAACAGTTATATGATCAACAAACTAATAACAATGCACAAGTAAATTGTCAAATTTGCAATCTGTCTCTTTATCAAGGCACAAAATATTACATAAGTTACATCTCGCACATAGAACATAAAACAAAGACAAAATTACAAACTATACTAAAGAGCGACGATGTAAAGTGTCCTAATAATCTGTTTGGCCAACAGATGCACAAAATAAGGAGTGGAAAACCATCTTAGGTTTATATCTTAAATATGATGAATCAAATATTGAATCTGAGGTAAATTTCAGGACAGTGCATGTAATAACCACTGGGTGATTAGAGCAAAATTTTTCAGTGTCAGTTTTCAAGAAAATCTGTTGTTGGTAACTCTAGGTCCCACTCTGAATAAGGAATTGGTGACTAAAAATCAGATATGTAGGCAATTAATCTAAATCATTCACTAAAGCAGGTAAAATAAGCTTATTGGACACATCATATGCAATGCAAATAAATTACAATTTTCAGCAATTTGAAAATCATCTTATTTTTGTCCCTTAAGCTAGTATATATAAAGAGCTGACAGATAACGAAATTTGAAATTAACTGTTATTGGCATCATAAAACGTCAATGCAGGAATCATAAAGGTAACCTTATTGCTGAATCTATACAGTGATCAGCCTAGTGGGACTATCATTACCTCATGTAACCTTTGACTTCAAAGTCATCAGGTGGATTTACATAAATTACAAGACTGCTCAGTATGGTAACTTGGTAAGAATTTTTCTTGTGAGTCCAGTAATAAAAGAGATATACAGCTAGTGGATTTGCAAAATTAAAGTGAGTCCAACAGGAAAAGCAGGAGTCCAGGACTCCTATGTTGGAGACATTGTCAAACTGTGAAATAAGGTAGCATAAATACAGAATACTCAAACAAGTTTATTTTTTTTCTTTTCTTTTTTCGAAAACAGTGAATTCCAGTATATATGTGAAAGTCATATAACTGAAACATTATATCTTACATCTGCCATAAGCTAAACTTGGGTGTTTTTAGCAATTCTGTTTGATGAATGCAACAGAGCACTCATCAAAATGTTACATCAATGTTCTACATGTCATGATATGCAGATACTTTATATTGAGCTTTTGACAGTGTAACTCTTGGTAAATGCTAAATGTCAATATTTTGACTGATAAATGTTTACGAAACCTACCCTTATATTTGATGGTAGGATAGTGTTGCGCTTCAGAGCATTATATCGCAGTCTTTCCATTCCATATTCCTTTACAAGGTCCCGTCGTTTAGCATCTCTTCGCATTTTCCAATCTACATACCTTGTTCGGACCTGAGTTGTCTGAATTGACTGTTGCTCAACAGGTAACGCTGTCTGAGGAAATTTAAGCAACTGGAAAGCAAAAATAAAATTTCACTCTTAAAGATGCTATTAGAGTACCATATCAATCTTATAACAGGACAATGAAATGGTATTTTTCAATCTTATTGAATGAATAGGTGGGTTTATTACCAAGTCTCCTTTTATTACAGGATAAATAGAGTTACTTAAAACAGTTTTTATAATGGTAATATAACCTTAGCTAAATGATATTGACTAAAACAAACTTAAGTACTTCAGGTTCTTGTATATACTATATTGTATACATGATGTACATTTGCAAGAGGTCTATGTAAAATAACTGTAGTATTTTTAAAATTTCAATATTTTGTATAATGTATTTTTTTAATCTGGTGCACAGAAGTCCTGAACTGGAAATAAACTTATCTTATGATTTTGATACAGAATGGATTGATGAAAATTGCAAATAAAAAGTACTGTATTTGATTGTGCGACTTAAGTATTTTTGCTGCATATTCTGTAAAAGAATTTCTGGTGTTTCTTTTTTAATTGAACATGCATTTGAGCAAGTAATAGATTACTCAATGCAGTAACCATCCCATCAAATGCAGGGCCATTACCCATAGGCATGGTTGTGCTAAACCTGTTGAATTTATAGTGATCCCATTAAATTTTCTCTATCATCCTTGGTTCCTTGGTGTATATCTAAAAGCATTGCAAGGATAAATGGATTAAGGCTTATCCAATAATGCATTGCTGAAGAGCAGTTCCGATTCCGTGCACAGAACTGACGTCTCGACGTCAGACATTTTTTTCAGCCAAAGCAAATATCGGTCAAAATTACTTAGTCTAGTGTAGGAGCCAAAGTAAACTCCGAGGAACAATCCTTTAGAATTTCATATGCGTTGAGATGGGAAGTGTGTCAGAATTGGATCTTCTTTGAGATGGACAACGTGAAAGATCGAAATACTTTAAATGACACGGTTTTTCAGCGAAAGATTGTTGGTTTGCCTATTTACCTTCAAAAATGGTCTTGCCAAACTTCGTATTGATACAATAGTTTGCATAGTGCACAAATTGTCGACTTGAACAATGGTAATACGAGTCTTAATGAATCGCGTTCATTGAATTTCAATGCAGGCCCTTCGAATGAACACACACTACGGAAGTTGTAATCACCAGTTTCTCTCTCATTTTAATGCTTAAGTCTCACTGTTACTCTCTACTATTTGATACAAACGCGTTAAAGACTGAGTGAAGTACAAATATCGCAGTGACGTCACTAAGAATTGTGTGCGCAGCCCACGTGATACCTACCTCTTTCCTTTTCTGCGGTGGCGTGATCGTGAGTACATGCAACTTTATTCGTGTAGCTTTTAAATCCGTACTAATCACTACATATCTTTATCATCTATTACTTTTCTAACAATATTTATAAAATATAAACACGCTATGAACATTTGGTTTAACTATTTATGCAAAATTATCTGTACTTTATTGATATTTTGATCTTTTTCGTTTTATGATGAAACCATCCACGTCGACATACCGGCGTAATGGCGCAGGTCAGCCGACAGTAACAGTTTCCTTGATAGCAAATATCTACTCATCATAACTGTTTAGGGAGAAATACCTGTGATATATGGGATTTAATGTCCCACTGTCATTTTGTTGGCGAGTTTTGAATATTGTATTTTGTGCGACAGATTTGACGGGATCCGAAGTTTGGTGATCACTCTTTTTTTAGTCTTGCCGTTATAGTCTAAATAATTCGATTCTTAACGCCATCTGGACGGTCTTTTCATAATTTCTTTGATAAGTAGTCGTTGATCAAAAATATTTGCCTTGAATTGGATCGTATCCTTCGCGTAGGTCTACATACTATACAATATACTTTACTCCCTGTCTTACTCGGTAGAATTAGTTGGAAACCTGGCGATTTGAAAAATATGTAATGTCGAGTATTTTTAAACAATACGTTTCCTCGTTTACGGCTAATTATTATGTAGGTGGACGATTTTCATTCCCGAGTATTGCACAACGGAACGTCAACCTAATTTCAAATCCAATATGGCGACTTTTCACCCACGTGGCTTTCAAATGTGGGGTTTGGTTTATATATTTGATTAATCTTTCACTCGAGGAATTTTCATCTTTGTAAATAATAACCAGTATACAACGTTTCTCATATAATGATAATAGTAGCATCCCATTATTGTTTAATGCCATGATGTGAACCACCGGGACTGACTGGTTTCCCCCCCCCAAATTTAAAGCCATTCCAAACTAGTGGAATAGTGTGGGAATGCAAAATTTGTTGGCTAAAGAAAAGAATTTTGCAAAATAAATGCTGGCATTGATTATTTGGCGACTTTGTTTTTGGTATATGGGAATTTTCTCTTGCAGATCTTTGCCAATTTGTAACAACTGAGAAACAACCATGGGTAAAGAAAAAACTCACATCAACATTGTGGTCATTGGCCATGTCGACTCTGGAAAGTCCACATCCACCGGCCACTTGATTTATAAATGTGGTGGCATCGACAAGAGAGTCCTCGAAAAGTATGAGAAAGAAGCCCAAGAGGTAAGAAAAAAAGGTGGGGTGGGGAAGTGCTGCAATTGAATAACACTGTCCTAAAGGACAAGGAATGAAATTGACATGGAATTTAATGTAGTTGTATAAAAAAAACAGCCCTGAAATTTTACTATTTCTCGTGCAAATTTACACATGACGGATTCATTCACTCCCCCACCACATCAACATTTAGAATGAAGATAAATTAATGCAATTCTGAGTGAAGTGGCAAATGAATATTCCTTTTCCTTGCCACAAATTTTGAGCTAAAAGATAGTTGCTGGTCCACTGTTCATTTTGCAATTCACAAAGGGAGACAAAAAGATTATCTTGCCTGACTACAGGGATCCCTACCACAATAATTGTTAGCTTGTTTCCTTTTTCATATTTGTGTAGTGAATTGTTCCTTGAAGGTCCTGTCGTCAATACAATTCTTATTATTTTGACATTTGTAGATGGGAAAAGGTTCATTCAAGTATGCCTGGGTATTGGACAAACTGAAGGCTGAACGCGAGCGTGGAATCACCATCGATATTGCTTTGTGGAAATTTGAAACCAAGAAATTTTATGTGACAATTATTGATGCTCCTGGACACAGAGATTTCATCAAAAACATGATTACAGGTAAGTTGGAATGAAGCATGCATGGGGGTTTGTCGTTGGTACAATTTGTTCTTTGTCTTTAAAAGTGGTTTACCTTTAACATAATGTACAGAATTTTGTTTGGATCTGCATTTTGAGAAAGTCATTTTCCAAGCATCCAATTGGCTTGATATTTGGTCTCATCTTGTGAAAGGAGTTGAGTGATTGGGTTTTAATTAGGAAATGATCGAGATACCCAACCTGTAGGCATGAATAACATTGCATGGCTTCAAGATCCAGGTGAGTGATGCACGCCCTATGGGCCTCTTGTACTAAAAGCAATATATTGATTGCAGGACATGAAAAAGCTGCCGCTATGTGTTCACTGTAATTCAGGGCTCAACAATAATGCTTGCCGGACTTGTCTGTGCCAGTGCAAGATCATGTCGGACAAGTACATCTATGTGAATTTCGGCAGACAAAGTAACTAAATCATTTGTTAAAATCAATTGAATCATTCCTCTGCCAAATTGCGCTTACTGTTGATTTTTCTTTGGCGTAATCACTCTATTCCATTGAGATCAAAAGCTCGGCCTTAAATAATAATCATTGTTCTGTACGAGAAAGTCTGTGATATTCCGAAAACGTTTGTAATCTGTGTCAATTTTGCGTTGTTTGGAAAGGCTGTTTAAAGCTTTTAGGAAATCCTGGTTTTACCTCCTCGGGGGATGGTCCAAAGGAGAAACAAAAGACAGACACACAGCCAGAAAATGATAAAAATAGATTGTATGAACTAAAAGGGAAGCGTACATTCCAGCAAAAATGACTGACCGAGTATCCCGGTCTGACATTTGATGAGACTGCTGGCATGCTGTGTTCGATTTGCCTGACTTTATTTTTGTTGCAATATTGATTGGTATTGTTATTAATTTTATTAAATGTATTGGATTGGATTATCTAGACTTATTTGTTATTCAGTTGCCTTTGCAGGTCATCTTGTCACTATAAGTATTCCGGGAAGTGGTGACTGGTTAGTCACCAATTCGGTCATTAAAATGAATATTACTTGGTGGATAAAACTAAATGCAAAGCCAACCCTATGATTGTTCTTGGATTTATAATCTGATTATTTTATTCTTCAATCATGCATTAATACCGTCTGTATAAAAAACATGAACACAGTTCAAAGAGATTTTCAACAGCTTTGTACTGCAGGTTACTGCATGTAGTTCAATCATTGGTAATTACTACATCCGTCACTCATATTCATGTCTTGCCTATGCAAGATAAAATTAAGACAACACTTCAAAATTTAATATGCTAGCGACAATCAATGACGCCCATAGAAACATAAGCTCTAAAAATGTATATGAACCAAAACTTGCATAATGTAAGATAGCATTGGTTGCTGAAAATTCGGACAAGTGAGGTAAAAAGTTATTGTAGAGCCATGTAATTGATATGTAAAGTCTGCATTTGCATGTAGAATTGGTTAACCTCGGGATGATAGTTCTAGTTCTGTAATCTTCAGGAATTTCCCAACATTTGTTTTCCTATTCCTCTTGACTTGAGACAGAAAAAGCTGTCGGAAATTTCTTCATTAAAAAGAAATTGCTAAAAAATTTAACACTGGATAGTACTTCTCAAATTGTGAATAAACTTGTGCAAGTTGAATGTGGTGGATTTTGTAGTTGTTGACAATGGCTTTTGTTTTGAATTAAAGGAACTTCCCAGGCTGACTGTGCTGTACTTATCATTGCTGCTGGTGTTGGAGAATTTGAAGCGGGTATTTCCAAAAATGGACAGACTCGTGAGCATGCCCTGCTTGCTTACACCCTTGGCGTGAAGCAGATGATCGTTGCCATTAACAAGATGGACAGCACTGAACCACCATACTGTCAGGTATAACATTTTGATGCAGAATTTCACTATTTAAAAGTTTCAGTTGGCCATCAATTAAAGTGTTTATTAGAACCAGCAGCAAACAATGTACATGATATAAAGAATTGACTTAATTCGTCTTTGCCCCCTAGTTTTTTAAAATTTATATAACTCCATTATGTGACGGGAAGCATATTTACATACCACTTTGTATTAAATAAACTGTACAATATAAAAGTTTATTAGTGGGCATTATTTAGAAATTAGTATGGTTTAACGAATAGTTGTAAAATACAAAGCAAGTTTTATTGGTAGGCATTGTTTTTGAACTGCATGATTAACATGTTAGTATTATGTATAAAGGTGAGTGCAAATATGCCTTGTTATGAAGTTGTAACTAAATAGAAATGTATATATAACGATGAGTATTCACGTTATTGAATTATTTGATTAAGTGGAAAGTAATGTGTTGTCGAGTAAGTCGGTAGTTGTAGGGTTGATTTTTTGATAAATTCTTAACAAAATTGAATGATTGAATGTATTGCTAGTTCCATGACAAAGTAATTTTTTGTGTATTCAGACACGTTTCAACGAAATCAGCAAGGAAGTGAGTGCCTACATCAAGAAGGTTGGTTACGTTCCTAAAACTGTACCTTTCATTCCCATTTCTGGTTGGAACGGTGACAACATGATTGAACAAACTAAAAACATGTCCTGGTTCAACGGATGGACCATTGAGAGGAAAGAAGGCAATGAAAAAGGGCATACCCTTGTGGATGCAATAGATGCCATCCTTCCTCCCAAGCGTCCTACAGATAAACCTTTGAGACTCCCACTCCAGGATGTATACAAGATTGGAGGTAATTGTTCCCAAACATAATCTAATTTTATTTCTGGAAAAGTGATCAGATATTGTAGAATGTATCTTCAGTATGGCAAGTTCAGAAATCTCGACCAGCCAGAGAGATCATATATGCAATGTTTTGATAATATTGAGTTTAATTAGTGAACAGTACAGGTCCTATGAGGCCTCTTCTTGAAAAGAATGATTCTGTTAATATAGGTGAATTTTTAAAGGGACAGTTAAGTCGTCATTTTTTTAATTCAAGTAGAATGAAAAAAAAAATAATATATCCAGACGAAGAACATTGTTAAAAGTTATTTGCTTCATAACCACTGTTCAGTGTGGTAAATTGGGTGTGTTTTGAAAGCTTGTCAGGTATAGCAAAAATCGCCATATAGCGTGAAGTGACACCCTAGTTTTGAATGGTCCAAGTGCATTGCATACAATACATTTCATTTGGTGCAAGACCCTGTTACTTTTTACTCTGGTTTTGGTCGGAAGCCATTTTTGTTGACATTCTTGACTGTTTTGGGTCATAGTGCCCTGGTATGCTGATGAAATGTTGGTTTTTAGGTTAAGAATTCTTATCAATTAAAAATCATATGGAAAGCTTAATATTGTTGCCAATGTAAGGACATGCATAATTCATAAGTACAGAATTGCAAGATTTTTATGCTCCCCAAGGGAGAGCATATATTTGTAGTATTTGCTGTCTGTCATAAACTAAGAGGTATCAACTAACACTTCATAGGTAGATATATCACGGCAAGAAGTGCAGTGCACAAGAACCTTTGATCACTCTCTTTTGAGTTACTGCCCTTTATTAGCCCACCATTTATTCAAATAGATGGTGGGTTATTCAAATCGTCCTGCATCCGTGGTCCGTCCGTAAACAATTCTTGTTACCACTATTGCTGGAAAAGTACTGGATGGATCTTTCTCAAACTTCATATGGTTCCCCTTGGTCCCTAGTTGTGCATTGAACCTTTTTTGAACCGATTCACATTCAAGATGGCCGACAGGTGGTCATTTTGGATTTTGGAAGTAAAAGTTTGTTACCGCTATTTTTGGAAAAGTACTGCATGGATCTTCAAATTTCATATGCAGTTTCCCCTTGGTCCCTAGTTGTGCATTGTACCTTTTTTGGACTGATTCGAATGCAAGATGGCAGACAGGTGGCCATCTTGGATTTTGAATGTAAAAGTTTGTTACTGCTATTTCTTGGAAAGTACTGGATGGATCTTTCTGATATTTCATAGATATTGGTTTCCCTTGGTCCCTAGTTGTGCATTGTACCTTTTTTGGACTGATTTGAAATCAAGGTGGCCCACCGGCAGCCATCTTGGATGTCGACAGTAATACAGCACAAGCATATTGTCCATTATCCACCTGTAACTGACTGCTATCTAATAATACTTTGGGATCTTTTTCAAATGATATTTGCTAATAGGTGCTTAATTTGCTAATAGGTGCTTAATAAAAATATCTTGTGCCATCATTGAGTACATTCAATGAAGACCAGTTCATGAACATTTACAACACCTGTAACAAAAAAAAAAATCATCAAGAACTGAAAACAGATTATCAAATGGTGGGCACCAAGATCCCTCTGGGATCTCTTGTTTTCAATACTTAAATTTTGTCACAAAGGGGGAGCATAACTCATCCCTAATGACTCTCTTTGACTAGAATGTCACTTAAAGATTTGCAGTTGCAAACAAAATGCATCGTCATTGAAATTCTTTTTGTTTCTATCAGGTATTGGAACTGTGCCTGTGGGCAGAGTCGAGACTGGAATAATTAAACCAGGAATGGTCGTAACTTTCGCTCCGTCTGCCCTGACAACTGAAGTTAAATCTGTGGAAATGCACCATGAATCTATGCCAGAAGCTCTCCCTGGAGACAATGTTGGATTTAACGTCAAGAACGTCTCTGTTAAAGAAATTAAGAGAGGAAATGTTGCAGGAGACAACAAAAATGACCCCCCTGCTGGTGTGGAACATTTCACTGCTCAGGTGAGACTTGTGACTTCTTGTGTATTCAAATAATTGTTTTTGTAAGAAAGATATCTTTCAGAGGGAAGAGACTATTCTATTGAAGACAGTTTGTTTAGGCTTTTTTACCAGTTAAGACTTTAAAATTTTATATTTATGTTGTAGGTTATTGTCCTGAATCACCCTGGAGAAATCCGTACTGGTTACACACCAGTTCTTGATTGCCACACTGCTCACATTGCATGCAAATTCAAGGAGCTTATGGAGAAACTTGACCGTCGTACTGGAAAGACCCTTGAAGAAAACCCAAAGACTGTGAAGTCTGGTGATGCATGTATTGCCGAGCTTGTCCCCCAGAAGCCCATGTGTGTAGAAGCTTTTACAGACTACGCTCCACTTGGTCGTTTTGCAGTCCGTGACATGCGTCAAACAGTAGCTGTTGGAGTCATCAAGTCTGCCAAGAAAATGGAGAAAACTGGGAAAATGACAAAAGCTGCCCAGAAAGCTTCCAAGAAATGAAATGAATCTATTTCATCAGTCCACAAGCCAAGCAATTCTAAATTTCCTTTTATTTTGTCCGATTTAGGTTTGTCCAAGAAGACAAAATTAAAAAAAACAATTGGTCAAATGAAATCATTTTTGAATGATCCACAGCATAGCATTTATTGGACTGTTAAACTTCTTACAAAAAAAATCCATCGAAAGGAAGTGAGAAGGAAAAAGTTTTGATGCTGTAGGTAATGGCATTAAAGTATTTAAATACATATAACTTGCTTGTTTTCTTTTCTTGGTCCAGTTATATGCAAATCCAACCAGTTTTAAACTAGAGCAGAGAAGGTACAAAGATGCTATCCTGGGTATCTAGCTGCATTTTACTAATCTGAAATTTTCAGAATCCAAATCCGAGAGAGTCGCTCAAGATGAAGTCTAAGGCAACCTATTGCAATAGCCTTTTGTGTGGCGTCGTCTGTCATGCCAAGTTACTGTAAATTTTCGACTATTTAATATAAAATAAAGAGCTACCGAGTTGGTACTTGAACGATTGACACGGCCCTACTTTCAAGGTCGCGTGTATCTAGTGTCAAAATCTTAAATGACTAATCAATAACCAGAAGGTCCAGGGTGCTGGTATGAAGGGCTATCATGTTTGTTCAAATGAATGACCTTTACTTTCCGAGTTCGGGTCAAAAATGCTAAACTACCACACGATATCGTTCCATTTGAAAACAAACTTTGTTGATACCAGTTTTGTTCATGTAACAATGTATTTGTTGACAATTTGAATATGTGTATGTGTTGAAATCGAGAACCACATTTCAGATCGCAGCAGGATATATTTTACTTTCATTCATGTCATTCTAGCAGCTTCATATCTTTGGCATTTTGGATAAAATCGCGCGCTTGCAAATGACCGCGATATCTCTAGTTCAAATTTTAGCGTAAATGTTAATGTTCATATTGTCATCACTAATGACTTCTTGTGCTTAAAAAGTAGAATTACAACTGACAAGCAAGTTGCAGATTCTTTTGATCAGTCTATTCATTCATATCCACTGGACCAGTGAACTTGTGCCATGACGGGTCGAATAGATAAAAACCACCGCGTCTACTTGCGAGCATCAAACATCCCTAACTAGATTTTCCACAAGCAAACAACAAAACATGTCCCAGTGATGACCGTGAACGCAACGCATCAACATGCCTCGTGTTTTGAGTTGACATCGAACACAAAAATTGTGATGTTTTGAACAAATCTTTTGAGTATTGAATTAACTGCGGCATGCTTACACCCGATGTTTGGGACGCAGGGGTGTTGATAAAAGAAATGGACGATTCGGTACTTCAGAAATCTTCACAAATCCCAGATATGAAAGGATCAAAAACTCATTCGTGGATGGAAAGAACTTTGATGCTTACCAAAATTGTTAATTTCATGACCCTTGAGGAGGGGTAAATTTTACAATAGTTTATACAGGGAATATTTTAAACAATTTGCTTATTGGGGCTTTCATTAAAAGGTGAAAAGACCCTATTGTTTTTATGCATTCTTCCTCCGTATGTATGGGTTCATAATTTTATAAACGGTAAGGGATAGGCACGCAACCTATATATCCTGCTCACAATTTGATGGGGATCACTTTTTTATTTAATGTGTAACGGTATCTATTTTAAGAATATATTCTACAGTTCAATTTATACATATTTTTGCATTATAAGATGAAGATTTAACAACATCAGGCGAAGAATAACAGTATTAATTTGATTCAATGCTCATTGTACACAGATGCCCCGAAAATCGCAAATTATGACGAAAGGGGCGAAAAATTAAGTCCTACGAAACAGTGTCGTTCAGCGAAAAATACAGTGTCAGTATCGAGTATAACGTCCTCGAGCATCAATTACGCTGTGGCAGCGGCGGCGCATGCTTCTGATCAAGTCTCGTATCCGGTTTTGGGGAATACTTGTCCGTTCCTGAAGCGTTCTAGGTTGGATATTTCTCGCCGAAATGTCGGCGTTCTGAAGCATGTCCCACACGTGTTCTATAGGATTGAGATATGGAGATTGGGCTGGCCAGTCCATCCTCTCAATTGTTGCCCTTTCCAGATACTGTTCAGTCACACGAGTTCTGTGTGGTCGCGCATTATCGTCCATAAGAATGAATTCCGGACCTATAGCACCAGCATAAGGCCCGACGTACACGTCCAGGTCTTCGTCACAGTACCTCTGTGCAGTCAAACTGCCATTAAGGAGCACATGAAGGTCGGTCTTGCCTTGCATGCTAATGCCACTCCAAACCAAAACAGATCCACCGTCGTATCGGTCATGTTGGGAAATGTTAGCGGCATGGAACCTCTCATTTGGTAGTCGCCACACCCTGACACGTTGGTCAGTGAAATCTAAGCAAAATCTAGACTCGTTTGTAAAAAGTACCGGGGACCAGTCATGGAGGTTCCAATTCACATGATCACGAACCCAAGCAAGTCTAGCTTGAACATGTCGTAACGTCAAAGGAATTCCACAACAGGTCTGCGCGACCTTTAACCAGCATCATGAAGTCTATTTCTCACAGTTTGTGTGGAGATACGAGTTCCGGTGGCATTCTGGAAGTCATTACGTAGTGACGTAGCGTTGATGAACCTTTTACGTCGAGCTGCAATAACAAGATAGCGGTCTTGACGTTGCGAGGTAAGTCGTTCCCGACCCACCATGTCTTCTGGAGAGAGTTCCATAATTTTGGTAACGATTCCACATACGGGACACAACACTCTTGGACACACCAATGTCATTGGCCACCTCCCTTTGTGACCTATCAGACTGGATCATAGCAATGCCCCTGTCCATATTTGAAGTGCTTAGACGTCTTCTAGCCTGCTGTCGGGGCATTTTGAAACCGTTAAAATTCAAAATGTAAAGCAAAAAATGAGATATTCTGCCACAAACGTGCGTGTACACGTGAAGTGTAGGCGTTACTGGTGACTGACCACATAAACACCCGATACACATAGACCTCGGTACAGATATAAACCAACAAATATAAGGAATAGGTATCATTTTATTTTAAAAGAAAATTTTGCTAATTATTAGGTGTGATCCCTATCAAATTGTGAGTAGTATAGTATGTTATGGCAGTACATCTGAACTTGTTAATTTCGCATTTTTAAGTAGGTCAAAAATCCGCCATGCCCCAATTACCAGAAATTCTAAAAACAGCAATAACTCAACCTATTTGTCCTACAAATTTGCTACAAATATATATTTTATGTAGAGGAGGGTCATATCTAACTTTCCACTTGTTCATGGAAATTATTTAAGATAAAAAAGCTCGCAATTGTTCGTCGTCACCTATAAATAGATAAAACAAATATTACATTTTCCGATTTTTTTTCCCAACAGTATCCACGATTATTTCAGTGTATACATTTCTTCTATAATGTCTTTCTTTGACGTTTTTACGTCATTTAAAAAAATCCCTTAGTTCGATGTAAACTGCAGACAAGAAGTTTGATCTGAAATTACTCCCGAGATCCTACAATACAATTTTGTTGATTAATTTTGGATGAGGTTTGGTTACGTGCCCTCTAAATTCTGACGTGATTTGCAACTTTGTCAAAAAAGTAGAATGGCCGCCAGGACGTAATAATGGCGTTAATGAAATAATTGTTACATCAAGCGTTGCGACTGTGACGCATGCGCAAGGAACTGTAAACAAATCTGTCGTCTGCCAACGTAGCAGAAAGCGTGCGAGGGAAGCGGGGGAAGAAAACGTGTTTTGACGGACTCTGAGGCGAAAAGAAGGAAGATGGCGCGAGATCGTGATACCTCAAAGGCAAAGATTTATATTGGCGAGCATTCGGAAAGATGGAATGCTGAGAAGACCGATCTGAATTTAAAAACAAATCACGAAGTAGCGGGTATTTTGCTCGACAGGTAAGAACTCAATCCACAAATATAAAAATACGGGATAAGTAAGGCTTGAATATTAATGTTTGGTTATTTTGTGCATGTGGTTAAAGTATGTTTGTTGGTTTTCGTGACATATGATGACCTGACAGCTAAAGAATCTAAGACAAATACGGTGTTCTGCATGCAGCTAACGGAGATCAAAATTTCGGGGGCCCCATGAGGGGAAATCATAACCAAGATTTTCGAATAAGTAGTCTTGATCTAGATACCTTGGAATATCCTTAATTTCTCATTTCTATGATGTCTCCAATTCAGAAACAAAGTCCGGTATCGTTTTTCAACGCAATTTTTTTCCTATAAGCCTGTGCATCAGTTTTAATGCAACAAATATAGATATACGTGTGATAAAAGTGAGCCTGAACTGACAAACTGTGAACACTCAACAGTCGAACGATTAGCTAGGTGAATAACAATTGATCGCATCAAGGTATTTTAAAATATATAGATAAAGGTTATATGGATTATTATTATCGACTCTCTTTAAAAGTGTCAGTATTGTCAATTATAGAATGTAAAGTTGTAATGCATGTACAATGTATATATTTTCCCTATAGATTATACACCGACAAAACAAGGATGACAGACAGGAGTGCATAACCAAAAGTGTTCTCTACACCCATTACCATGGAATTCATGGCAGCAGAACTCATGGTTTCAGAAATTTCTTCAGTAAAGTCTGATGGGAGGTAAATTTATACATGTAGACATATACATGTGTGCATAAAAGTCTGTCATAAAATCAAAATTATTTCTTGTCCTAATTTTAATTCTTCTACTGTTGACTTTTTTTGACCAAGAATAAAAAATGGTCTATTAATTAACATCACAATAGTTTCAAGCTAATTAAAGTAGTAAGTTTAATGCATAAAGTGAAGTATATGTATTTGAATATATTTTCATTTATGATTTGGCAATATCTTGTTATTTTGTGCATACAAATGTTCATGGGTAGCCTTTGGTAACAGTATATTATATATATAATTATTTTGTATTGTATAATATTTATCGTACATGTACAATAAACTTATAATTTTGCAACTGAAAAACAACAGAATTCTTATCACTATAAATACATTCTATACAGCATGTAAGTGCACTCTCAGACCATGTACAGTAGTCAGATCAGTCTGCAAAATCACTTTCCGTTGTAATTTATGAATTCAGAGTGAAAGCATCATCGTCTGAGGTATCAGGTGTTGGAGAACTTGATTCTGGTAAAGAAATGGATGACCATCCCAAGCATTTCCTTGTAAGTACAGTATATCACATTATGGATAGAAGCAAACTTACTTGTGCATTCTAGATCTGCGTGTATTTAAAAAAATATTTTGGCTTACTCCAATATTTAGGGCGCTGTGTGACAAAATAGTTCAGGCATACTACCATTAATTGCTATAGCTTTCACCTCTGGGTCACATGTTGGAGGCTTACGTGAAGCAGTTGCCAGGAAGTACTGACTACAAGTTGTTGGTTTTCTCCAGGTACTCTGGTTTCCACCTTATATGACCCTTGCTGTCCATATGATGTAAAACAACTTCCTTAGAATAAAGAAATAAGTAAATAAATAAATGCTCCCAACATCTAAAACTTGCACATTTTTTAATCACTCAAACCTTTAGGCTATCGATTGGCAGTAAAGCAACAATGAAATAAAACCTTAACCTGAGTTTGGAATTATGTAAAATCTTAAAGCCATGAGTATCAATGTTTTAACATTTGCGCATGTTTATTTTGTAACAGAGGAAAGAGAGTACCTGTCAGGAAACAGATGTCAACATCTTTCATGGATCCATTCAAGTAAGATTACTGTATTCTCGCATTAAATTGTACGCAAAGCCTTAGCTTTTCTCTTCATTTTAACAGTTGATTAACTAGTTATCAGTTATATTTAAAGTGTAGGAGGTTTTAAAGAATCACACCATGTCTTTATCTTTTGTTGATCATATGTTTTTTCAAAGTTACATTGATGATCTTGTCATGATAATAGTTTACTTCATTTAGAGATTAAATGTTTAGTCAAAGGCTATTTTCCTACATGGTCCTTGGTTATTTTATTTTTTATGCTGGGGCCTTGAATATATTACATTATTATTGCACAATATTTTCAAAGCCTGTTTGAAAGGAAAATAAAAATGACTCATTTTGAAAGGAAAACAAAACATGGACAAAGCTTTTGGATGAGAGCAATCTAGTCCAGTACCTTAGACTGCTCAACCACAGAAATTATATAACCTTGTGATGTCGTCAAAGCTATCTGGTATATATGTTTCTATTTTTTTTTTTTTTGTATTTCAGCTTGACTATTGATGTGACTGAAGAATTGGATGAAGACAATCAAGAAGATGACCCCACTTTCCATATAACACTAGGGTAATTAACAATTCATTTCATATCTTTTAATTATTATTTATGATGTAAATACCCATTAATAAATTTCTGTCACACCATAAACCAATTTGGTATCGATGAAGGATTACAAGATCAAGTACAATTCACGTTCATGAAAAGTAACTCTAAGAGCTATTGAAAGTATCCCAAAGTACACAATATAAAAAATTAATTTTATCTCCACTGGCACGAATGGCCAACGTTGTCTGTCCATCCCTCCATAGTCTTGCGTTCGTCAACTTTTCCTTTAAAAAACTTCTTCTGAAATAACGAAAGTCCTAGAGTTACCATATTTGGCTGGAAGGTTCCTTGGTTAAAGCCTAACAAAGGTTTCCAAAAGAAATGACTTGGCTCTATATACAAGGTCAAAGGGGTCAAATGTGTTGAAACCTGAAAAACAACTTATTCTAAAATACTGGAAGGTCTAGAATTATCATAATTGACCAGTATGTTCCCCTGATGGTGCATAACAAAATTTAAAAAAGAGTAACCTTGTTTTTACATCCTGAATATATATTCTGGGCCCCTTGTTGTTATGTTAAGTAATATAATTTAGTTATATTTATTTTTGTTTTCTATCTGTCTTTTACATGGTCATCTCCTTTGCACCACAAGAGATAAACACTTGAGTTTGCATATATCCTTTAATATAAAATCCATTCAATTGACACCAGTGTTTTTCCTAAATGCATATTTTTTCATGAAAGTCTTCCTGTCATTTGTAACAAGTGAATTTATACATCAACCATTTTACAGAGGGGAGAAATTGAAGAACTGGAGGACAGAGCAGGGGCAGACATTGTATTTTGGGAGGAAGATGATGGTGACAATGAAAGTGAGAGTCATTGGTCCAGGAATCTCCAAAGTGTCAACTGCAGATGATGTGGGAACCTTATTGGATGACATTTGTGCCTTGGTATTCATCCATCAACTAAAACACCTTGAAAACTTGAATGTAGATGGAAACTGTGTGGTGAAAGGATGTAAATTGGGGATACAAATAAAATTGGATAAAGTAGTATCTGGGTGTGTATTTAACTGATAAGTATCACAAACATCAGGAAATTATGACTGTCAGCTGATATTGTATTACTACTATACACTGTATGTATTTTCAGTTAGAAACTTGTGGCACCGTCACACATATAATTAATTTCAAATAAGAGAGTTGAATTTTACATGTAGCAATACAAAGTTATCAATTTTATTTATCAAATAATATCCAGGCCTTGGGATCTCGAAACTTCTTAATATGTTATCATTTAACTATCAATGAAAAATGACTTCACCATCATAATGTCACTTCTGATAAGAATGAGATTGTATGTAAGAAGTTTTGAGCTATCGGGGCCTGAAAGATGCCATTATTAACTTGGTATTACAATGTACCGGTAATTCATGTACATTTCTTATGATGAAAACAACATTCAATTTCAGGTATGTGGAAATTCCCATGTTAAATACAAATGAAAGATTCCATAGTGGAGACTTGCTGATCACCTCCGCCGTTCTGTTATCAGGAAATAACTTCATAAAAATGCAGTTGTTTGCCAAGTTAACAAAGTTACATTTCCCTTCCAAATCCAGTTTCAACAGGATACAGACAACCTATCTTGTACATAAATAGAAGATTATTGGTCTAGTCATCAGGAAGGTGTTTTAGAGCAGTTAGAAGATATTGAATTAGTAGTTTCAGATATTTTTTCTTTCAATGAGTAATTTAAATTCACCTGTTCAAAGTGCAAGTGAGTTACTGCATTGGTTTGGTGTACATTGTTCCATCTTTGGTTTTTATTTAATTCAAAACGTTTCTTATATAAGCCAAATAATGGATTGAGGATACTGATATGAGTCTTGTTGCATGCTGGGTGAAGGGCTGCCAAGTTTGTTTAAGATCAGAGAGGTCAACAGAAGCAGATCAAGCAATAGGCCCAGTACACTTTTAATGTGTAGTTATTTATAAGGTAATATTTGTTTGCAAATGTATTAATGTTTAGGTCACCTGAGTCGAATGTGTGTCGTTAACTTTTCACATACTTGACTAAGATTAAGTTCATATTTGATATTTAGGGTCCTTATGGCAAGGTCTACAAAGTTTGCGAATGAAAAAGAAATCGGGCCAAAAACAGCCCCACTAGAGGGCGCTCAAATGGGTCGAAAATTCAACTTTGACTGATTTCAACCAAATTTGGTAGAAAGCATCCCTTAGGACATATGAAATTATGTTGAAAAAAGTGATTATGTCCCCTTTTGGGCCCATAAGGGGTGTAAAAGTGGCCATATGTAAAAACCTTCTTTAAATGACTTCTTCTCCAGAACCAGTGGATGAATTTTGACCAAACTTGGCACAAACCATCTCCATGGGAAGCCTCTTCAAGTTTGTGAAGAAAAAGGGTGTGGCCCCAATAGGGGCCGCAGAAGGGGGGAAAAAGGGGGTAAAATTAGGTAAATCTTTAAAAATCTTATTCTCATGAACCAACAGTCAGATTAAATTCATATTTGATACTTAGGGTCCTTATGGCAAGGTCTACAAAGTTTGCGATTGAAAAAAAAATTGGGGAGAAAAAGGGCCCCACTAGGGGGTGCTCAAAAGGGTCGAAAATTTAACTTTGACCGATTTCAACCAAATTTGGTAGAAAGCATCCCTTAGTGAAGGACATATGAAATTATGATGAAGAAAGTGATTTTGTAGGCCTATAAGGGGTGTAAAAGTGGCCATATGTAAAAACCTTCTTTAAATGACTTCTTCTCAAGAACCAGTGGATGGATTTAGACCAAACTTGGCACAAAGCATCCCCATGGGAAGCCTCTTCAAGTTTGTGAAGAAAAAGGGCATGGCTTCAATAGGGGCCGATGGAGGGGGGAAAAGGGGAAACTTGATTTGAATGTTCTACACAACTTTTTGGGGCGATTCAAAATCAAAGATGGCCACCCTGGCCTCTGTTTGGACTTCCTCTCAAGAACCGCTGGGTGGATCATGTTCAAACTTGGTACAGATGTTTTACACACGGTCCTGCACAAGTGTTGTTACATTTTTGCAACATTTTGAAATCCCCAGGTCAAAATTTCAAGTAAAATCTTTAGACAACTTCTTTCCAATAACCAGAAGGCCTAGGATACATGTATTGATATAGTGCGTGTAGCATGCTGGGATAAAGCACAACCAAGTTTACTCAAATGAATGACTTGCCTACTTTTGAGGTCAGACTGGCCAAATGTTTTTGGCATATGATTATATAGACCCAAGGGACTCGTGTATATTTCTAAGATTATTTGCTTGAGAGGTAGTTCCATGTATACATGGATACAGAATATTTGTTTGCTGCCAAGAGAAATGCATATATTCCTCCTAGCAAGGAATCTCTTGGCAGCAATTGACTACTATGCCCACATCGTTCAGCCTGTCCTTTATAACAAAGATGGCTCAGTAAGGTATGCTACATATTTATATGAAAAGGAATAAGATTTTGTGGTAGAAAAAAGCAAATGAAATTTAAAACGCCTATTGTAAAATTGGTAACCAAGTTACTCTAAATCTAGTTGTCGATTGCTGTAGAATCAATGTAAGCAATATATAAATTATGGTTGCTAAAAGACCATTTGTGGGAATCAGTTGTCTGTAAGTCTGTAAACTGGAAAACCTTTAAATAGTTTCCAGTATTAATGTTGTACCCTCAAGTTTTTATACCAATTTCAATGAAACTTCACACTTCTGTTGGGGATCATGTTTTTATGCGAGTGCAATGTTTTTTCCCAAAGAAATTGGTTGCCATGGTAACCAGGTCACAACAAAATTTTTGCAAATAACTTGGAGCGGGGGTGGGGGTGGGGGAGAGGTATTAGTTAGCCATTGGCTTACAGTTCTAGTTGTATTTTGTATTCCAGATACCATAGAACATACAATAAGAAATTGGAAAGATGGAGTGCTGTAGAAATAAAAGAGAAGAAAACCTACTATTATATCAAGGATCTCCTATCCAACATTTTCATAAGAAGAATTGAAGACAGGGTAGGGATGAAGGGCAATATTGTTCTCGCGGCAACTGACCCAAGGCGCTTGTCAGCTCATCTTGCCCCAACTGAACCTCCACCAACAAGAGAGCTGGTAGCTTCAATGCAATCTTGCTTTACAAGTTGAACTGGATATCATAACTGATTTCTTTAGATTGTGACCTTGACTCTAACATTTACTTTAATGATGATTATAAGTTTTTGATGAAGATGATTTGTTTGCTAATGATGATGATGGTGGCAATGACATGTGATGATGAGGTCGCTGACGACTGATATGTTGTGACAATGATGATGATTATGCATGATTTTAGTTGATATCAATGATGAATATGATGATTGATGATGATGATGTTTGGTGACAGTGGGGTGATGGACTGATGGTGGTATGACGATAATGACTAGGAATGAAAGTATATTCAAAGTGTGAATAAGTAAGTGGTTCTATGTGCAGGAATAAAAATGAATTAAAAATAATGATATAACTGAGTTACTGATCATTAACATGTAGCAAATTAAACTACGGTCATTATACTGAAACTTCAAAATTGGCATATGGGTGCACCATGGTGAGACAGTTATGTCGCATACCAAAAGTAGGTCACTGTGACCTTGACTTCCACCTTTGACCTCCATCAAAGTACGTCCGTTGGGGGACAAATTATCTTGTTATATTTATAAAGAAATCAAATACTTTTGAATTTTATTTACATTTATTCATTCTCTTTAGGCATGTTTTCTCATATGAATGAAAAATTGAGAAAATGTCAGGAGTTTGATTACATATAACCAACGACTACTCACTTAACAAACATTTATACAAAAAAGATGCATGTCGAAACTATTTTATGACAAATATGATTTTGCAAGTTATTCCAACTCATACAGGGATTTATCAAGGCTGTTTTTACTAGCAGTAAAGGGTACATTTCCCCTTTTCCGAAAGTGTAGACTTTTGAATTTTATTTACATTTATTCATTCTCTTTAGGCATGTTTTCTCATCGGAACGAAAAATTGATGATGATTAATAATATTGCATTGAGATAGAAAATCACCTCATTAAACTAAGAATATAAAAAAAAACCACATAATTCGTAAATTCCTATTTTTGTCCGATTGAGGTTTTTTGCCTTGACAAAGTGTAGAAATTACTCTCAGAATGCAGAATTTTGCCAAATTTATATTAAAAACATTTCTGTGGTGTTGTACCCCCCTAGCAGGTTCACGCCTTCGGCTCTTAATTTCCCCTTTATATATAAAAGGGTAGTAAAACAAAACAGCTAGATAAATCCCTGTCATAGTAAACACTCATGTAGGCCCAAACAGTCCATATGAACTTCACTGTATCCTTGATGGGATAAAGCCAACATATTGGCCATACTGATCAGGATACTTGTCCCGAATGGCCCACATACAACAGCTAACAATGGCTAACACATCCTGTCTGTACAGCACGGCAACGTGCAACACTGCATCATCCAGTATTAGCGCGTTTAAGTCCTGTGAATGAAGAAAAAAAAACTCTGTTAATGAATCAGTGTACTGATTAAGATTACACCAGTACCAATCTTTTTTTTTTACAATTTTGGCTGAAATTTTTCACCTAACTCGTCTTATGTCCACAGTTTTCATCATCATGAATAGTAAAGACAGAAGTTTATAATATTGGATTATTATTGTACGTCCTTTCGACAGGTAGGATAATTCAGGTGTATATGTTATTGTCTAATGTAACAATTTTTATATTGTTACGGAAGTACACTGCGTGTCGATTACAAGACAATATAGCACTGATATATTATAATGGTGTATATTCCCGTCAAGGTTTGGAGGGGCCGGGGTGTCGGTGGCCGACGATCTAGGTCGTTGCGCCCCGTGATCGTTGTAGCCTGTCACCTCCTAGGTTTAAAGCAATAACCCTTTGATTACGTGACCTTGAAAGTTGGACCAAAAAAGGGTGGTGTTGTATTGTCGATTAACGTCCGCGCAACAGCTTAAGTCATTTGCAGATAATATCATACGTACATGGCATGCATGGCAGACTCGATACATGTACCCAACCCACTACCCACACTGTTATACTGCCGTTGCAACGCTTATTGTAATAATTATTACATTAAGCGTCGTTATTACATTAAGAGTTGCATCACGCCATATCTAATTTTTGCACTTACGTCAACATCTCAATAATGACATGATATTTTGAAATCATCTTTGTTTATGTTATGTAGAACTGAAAACAAATGGCACTTCTCATAGGACATTTTTTGTAAAACGTCAACTTCCTGTTTTCCTTAGAGGTCAAAGTTCAAAACTGCAATGTAAGATATCAACATATACGTAACTTCATCTAAAGTTGGGAAATGCCTTAATGTTCGATACATCACCAATATAATGGTAAGATAATTGTCTATTATATTTGTAAATATGAATGACCTTGACCCACCTTCAATGTCACAGGCGTCAATCATGTATAAGATTCCTAAGAATTCAGTTTAATATTTCTAGGGGTAAACCATTGTGAAATTTCCTTAAAAGCCCCCTGTGGGCCTGTGAACTCTTACTATTGATAATAACAAGTAATGTTTTCCAAAAATTCAATTGTTTTTTTTTCGGTACAGTTTAAAATTAACGTTATGCAGTGTAGCGTGGCAACGGTGTTGGTTTGGGGTATTATACTCAGACATGGCTGATCGAGGACAACACGTTCCAGCTCTGTTCATCCATTTTATTCTCTCGTTAAAAAAAAGTTACAAAACCGGTCACAGAAATAATCCGGAAACAATAAAATCCGGAAAACTCACTATGAAGGGAGACAACTCGTATTGTCTTATAGCATGATCATCTGCCCAGCCATATCATAACCATAACAGCAGCATTATTTTTGGATATCAGTACACTCAGTGATTTGATCTCTTACTATTGATAATTCCTTCTGTAATTTGATTTCATACAGAGTGCCAATATATCACAGACATTGCCATTAAAACGGCTTTTACCTTAGATTTCAACATCGGGAAATGGTTAATTCGGCTTATGAATAATAAAATATATATCTATGATAAAGCGATACACGCGCCTATAACATCAAACTTGTTGGACACGTGAGTGACCCTACGGAAGCCAGTGAAGACCATGTCGATAAGGAAGTATCTACGCCCTCCGAACCGACAATACCACCGTCGAGGATTAAACCTACGCCAGTTGGTAACGAAGGGCCACTTATAAGCGCTAATCAACCAGGTACGACAAGGTCAACAAAAACAAATAGAAACAATGCATCGACAGTGAAATTAAATCACGACGCCAAAGAGGACAATGACGTGTTTATTGGTGTTCATCGTAAACAAACAGCGCGTTACTATTTAATTGGAATCGGATCTGAAAGTACCAAAAACGGTATTCTC